CAAGTCAGTTTTTCTAGTAATTAAGGCATCAGAAGTGTGGCAAGTCCATCTGGTGACAAAGACCATGCATAACTCAAAGCTCAAAGAACATAACTGCTACCCTCAAGATGAGGCGGATTTCTCAGCTGCTATTTCCAGGGTCATAAATAAATTTTTATTTTACGCTCAAGTGAAGCATATTATTTATTAAATCAAATCTAATTTTCATTTTTATTGGTTCATTCTTGCTCTTTCAAGATACCACACTGTTACACATATTGCATTTTGAGTTCTGGGCTCTCAGCTGAATATGAAAACAGTCTGTCATTGTTCTCCATCATCATATTTCTTTTTAATGTTTTATCAAACTGCTTTATACGTTTTCCTGCATAACATTTATAATTTAGTGGTTCATTGATTGAATGTTTAATTTGAAACTAGTATTCCATCTCATTATTTTCATTTAAGACTGTCTGTTGTAATTTTGATAAACAGAAGACAGTTATGATTCATCATTCCCAATAATAGAAATGCCCAAACTGTTTAAAAACACTGATCAATAACATAATAATAATTTGAAAAGATTGATTAAGTAATGGGCCAGCTCCAAGATGATAATAACTGCCCCTGGTTACTCATGGATGTGGGAAATTATACCATATACCTAGCTTGTGTTACCTGATTTCTAGTTTATTGTAATACATTACAAACTCTAATAAACATTGTTGTTGTTTTTTGTTTGTTTGTTTGTTTGTTTGTTTTGCCACTGTGGTGTGGTGGTTAACACATGTTAGTATGAAAGATCCCCAGTTTGAGACAAGATCTCAGGTCACCAGCTAGGGGACTCCTGTAGTGCTGGTCCCAAGCCTGGATAAATGGAAGTGTTGCATTTGGTGTAAAATCAGTGCCAAATCTGCGAATTTTATGCAATACTATCATCATATTTTTAAAATAACTGAAGCCATATTATTCATTAGATATTTGTGGACTTTCTTCTTACACTTAATGTTGAGCCACAAAGCATAATCTACAGTATCCACTATTCAGAGCACGTCTGCGATGATTTTCAGTGACATTTAGCATTCAGAGACGATCTCTCCCTCTCTCTCTTTCTCTCTGACAGAGGTGACAAAGTCTTCAAGATATGAAAATCTCACACCTTTCTTCAAAACAAGCTACCCTGGCAGGCCTTAGATGACCAGTGATAGTAAAGGAGGCAGTTGAGTGGACAGTGACAGTTATAAAATTCAGAGTATGGTTCTTACTGGTTACTGAGTTTAGCACATGCCACCATATCACATTAATCCAGGCTTTTTCTTCCAGCTGATTTAAGATTTTACTGATTACTTTCATGAGACATGTGATAGTTTGAAATGTTGTTCCAAAGTCAAAGATTAAAGCTAAAGATGCTCGGGCTCTCTTCCACAGCGTCTTTGTCCTGTTTTGCTCCCATTAGCTGCCCCTCCCTGAGCCAGGCTGTACTGGAGATTTCTTCCTGTGAAAAGGGAGTTTTTTTCCTTCCCACTGTCATCAAAGCGCTTGCTTAAAGGAGGTCATTTGATTTGGGGGGTTTTCACTCTGTCTTCCCTGTAAGGGTCTTTACCTCTCAATATAAAGTGCCTTGAGGCAACTATTTGGTGCTATATAAGTAAAACTGAATTGAACTGAATTTTCTATATTATTGCTTTGCTTTGAAATTAGCTTCTTGTTTTATTATTGTCATGTTTTTATTGCTATTTTATTTGTATCACTTTTATTACTTTTAAATGGCATATTTGATATTAATATTTCGCATTATATGAGTACTGGGAACTAAATACAGCATTTTTTGCTTTTTATTGCTGTTGTTATTTTCTTAAAGTTCATGCTGTTTGTGCTGTTGAAAGTTATCCTTTTATTTCACAGCTACAGGCTGGTTTAGAAGGCATGGGAGTGTTTGATCTGCTTTCAGAACAGGTGTAACCTGTCTTCTCTGGAGGACTTTTGTGAGACGAATGATAACCCAGCATGTGAGTTGTTGCACACTAATGATATGTTTGGACACTTTTTCAGTTTGTTGGTTTCAGAAAGTTTTTTTTTCAGAGGTTTGTGAGAGAGGATTTCAGATGCTCTTTGAAGGTACTGCATGCACCTTGAGTGAGGAATACTGATTTAGTACTCTTTTGAGAACCAGGGTTTTTTACTGAGGAACAAAGGTCTATTGACAGACACTGGAAGATGTAGGATCTTGGATTCCTGGAGCTGGAACCATAGGGACTAGAATCAGGATATCTCATCCTTCATTGAGCTGATTCAAATCAATGTTTGTGACTCTTATGTGAAGAAGGACTAAATGGCTGGTGTATTCCTATAAGAATTAATGCACACGCACAGAATCTAAATTAAATGTGACTTGTTGCGAACCTTTAATTACTTATTGATTCAAATCAGTAATTAATAGCACTTTCCTCCTTAAAGCTACTATCCATTTAATCCAAGCCAACCTATCAAAACCTTATGTAAGATTTACATTAGTTGTTTAAACTAAATAAGCAATACCTGTTGAGCCTTTACACAACAGCAAAAGTGCTTAACAGTCTGTATCTCAGGAGAGATCATCAGCCAATACAGCCAAACAACAGAGTGAAGCTTAACCCATATTTTAGTGAACCACTTTTTTCTGAAACTGCAGCAAAATAGATGTCCTTTTTGTGTGATTATTCTGTAAATTTTGCATTATAGAAACCTAAATGTATGAGTTAAAACAGTGTCAGTATGAATACCTTATAGGTTAAAAAGCTACACACAATAAAATAGCAGCTGTAATGATATTTGCCTGGCATTTCATGAGATTTTGGAAATCTGACTACCTGCTGATACTTCCCTTTCTTATCAGTTGTGCAAACTAGCTGGAGTAGAAATAGTCTGCCATACAGTTACCTCTTGTGATACATCTATGTAATCCAGTACGACCTTTCTGATGACTACAATGTTCACATTTTGTGTTGTTAATTGTACATTTTTAACACATTGTTTAACATTTTTAACATATTAATTAAATATGATAAATTTTAACAGTGTAATAGTTTATTATAATATTATCAGTATACTATAAGTCCAGTGCAATACCACCATAAGACAAGTAGTCAGCTGTGGGTGTAGGGTTGTATAGCAACTCACCTCACTGGAGACTGGGGACTGATAAGCTGTCTCAGGTCCCCTGTCTGATAATAGGCCAGAGCTCAAGTAATGATAGGTAACATTTGTCATGGCTCAAGTACTGGACTGCAGATGCTAAAACATA